CTCTGGCTGTCCTGGATCTCGCTCTGTAGACCAGGCTGGCCTCGAACTCACAGAGATCCTCCTGCCCCTGCCTCCCGAGTGCTGGGATTAAAGGTGTGCACCACTGCTACCCAGCAGGAGCAGACTTCTGAGAGTTCCCTGCCTGATAAATTATTGCGCTTCCCCAGCCTCACTTCAATAAAAGGATGTTTTTAACTGTTGAGTCCACGAGTCATATATATATATATATATATATATAAAGTCAGGGTCTCATGTAGCCCAGGCTGGCCTCCAACTCACTAGAGGGATTACAGTTGTGCACCACCATTATACAGTGCTGGGGGTCAAACCCAGAGTCCTGCATGGCGGCAAGTTCTCTACCAACTGAGCTACGTCCCCTCTCCTTTATTATTTTTTTAAAGTAAATTTTGTGTATGTAAGTGTGGGTCTATGCACATGAGGTGTCCACAGAGGCCAGAAGATGGCATCACACAAGATGGAACTAGAGTCACAGGTAGTGGGGTTGAGAGCCGCCTGCCTGGAGTGCTGAGAACCAAACTCTGGTCCTCTGCAAGAGCTGCCGGCACTCATAACCTCGGAGCCAGCTCTGCAGTCCCCTCCCCCTTTTATTACATTTGTGTGTGTGTGTGTGTGTGTGTGTGTGTGTGTGTGTGTAACTTGTGGGGATAGGTTTTCTTCTACCGTGTGCATGCTGGGTAGTTTATGTCAATTGGACACAAGCTAGAGTTATCTGAAAGGAGGGAACCTCAATTGAGAAAATGCCTCCAGAAGATCAAGCTGTAAGGCACTTTCTTAAGTAGTGATCAATAGGGGAGGGCCCAGTCCATGGTGGGTGGTACCATCCCTGGGCTGGTGGTCCTGGGTTCTATAAGGAAGGAGGCTGAGCAAGCCATGTTGAGTGAGCCAGTGAGCAGCACCCCTCCATGGCCTCTGCATCAGCTCCTGCCTCTAGGATCCTGCCTGCCTGTCTGAGTTCCTGTCCTGACTTCCTTCAGTGATGAACTGCAATGTGGAAGCATAAGCCAAATCAACCCTTTCCTCCCCAACTTGCACTGGGTCATGGTGTCTTGTCGAAGCAGCAATAGAAATCCTGACTAAGACAGTGTGAGACCCAGAGATCAAACTCAGAATAATCTGTCAAGCTGGTGACAAGCACCTTCACCACTGAGCCCTCTTGATGCCCCTTCTTAGATTTTTGAGACAGGATCTCTCTGTGTATTGTAGGTTGGTCTTGGTTTTGCCTTCCAAGGGCTGGGATTGCTAGCATGAGGTACCATACTTGGCTTGCATGACTTAAAAATGAAAGCCAGGGCTGGGTGGCGGCGGCGGCGGCG